GAGGCAGGAGCGTTCCTTCCCCATGGAAGGAACAGCGTGGGCCATCGGAACCGGGCGGGTGGGAAGGGCGGCAGAAGGAGATGCTGCAAGGAAATTCGTTCCCGGGGGATTATTAGGGCCGGCTGGCTCTGCAGCTGTCTCCAGAGGCCACAGGCCTAACTGCAAGAGTGATGGCACTGGGGGGGAAACAGAGAAACCAGGGCAGAGGAGGAGCCTTTGCCAATCTGGTCACAACAAACTGCTCCAAGTGGGGAGGAGAGGAGGAAAAGCCTCAGGTGGTTACAGAGAGGGTGAGAAACTACAGAGAAGGAGAAAGAAGGGTGGGAGCAGAGCTGCTTGCTCAGAGTCGGGGGGCACTGATCCACCCACGGGAAGGTTAAGTTTAGATCTGCTCCAGTGAAGGGGCAGAGCTGGCCTCTGCCTGCCTGGAATATACTGCTTGGGTGTACCCTATGGATGAGTTTGGGAGAGGGGCTCTGAGCTAGTAGGACCAGCGCAGGAAGGGGCTGCTGGAGGCCAGAGGTGTGCAGGATCTGGTGCAAACCTGGCTCTTCTCTTCCCTGAAGGACACCAGTAGAGCTCTGCACAGCCTAAATCATGACAGGGTGTTTGTGTGGGCAAGGAGAGAGGGAGATCTGGGGAGATAGGGTGATCTTGAATTACTTTTTCTCTTTTCTGTCTTCTACAGTGAACCTCGTGCTCTGAATCTCCAAGGGAACCTTTGAAAAGGATCTTCCCCTCCCTGCCATCTCCTCATTGTTTGCCAGCTCTGCCCTGCGCTGCGCAGGGAAGCTTGAAAGGGCAGCCTGAGCCCTGGAGGACAGAAAAAAGGACAATGTAGTAGGGTGCTCTGAGGTCTTGGATAGGGAATCCTCTGAATCTTCTTCCTCACCCTCCGCTGTCTGCTGATGGCTCTCTGACAAGCCTTGGCAGGAACCTCTGGCCACAAGAGTGGCATTTGGGGAGGGGGACACTCTGCACATGGTGTATGCACCATCCTCACCATTTCCTTAGGACCTTTGTCCTGCCTCCCACCTTCTCTGAAACTCTTGGCTAGCTCCTCCTTCACTAGGACACTGGGCAGCAGGCACCTGCTACCACCAAACTGTTTGGAGTCCTCAGCAGTCCCTGTTTGTGTGTGGCCTCCACCAGTCTCAGGAGAAGGTGGTCCGTGAGACAGAAGGTGCCTGGTGGGCATGTGAAGTAAGGAGAGCTTTTTGTTTAGGGGTTAGAGTGGAGGAGGGGGATGAAATAGATGGGGAGGAAAAAAAAAAGGTGAGCCCAAGCAAGTGAGGGAAGAAGCACTGGCAAGCGTTCATGAGAAGGAGAGAGAGAGAAGGTGGGAGAAAGAAAAAGAAAGAGAACAAGGGGAAAAAAAACAGGATAAAAAGTTAGAACAAGGGAAAGCAATATAAGCAAACAAGGGAAAGTAAGGACTGAAAGTGAGACGGAGTTGACCTGCTGGCAGTGCCTTGAGGAACCCCTCCAGTGTGTGTACACCTCACTTCGCATCACAGCAGCAGCAGTAGCAGATGAGGAGGGACGTGGCTCCCCCAGTGCAGAGTCCCACTCGCCCTCTGACAAAGCTGCAGGGACAGGGGGCAGCCTAGCAGGGGCGGCAGCATGGGGGACTCTGAATCAGAGTCCACCTTGCACAACAACTCACTCTGGTGGCTGGCATGTGGGATGTTAGCCCTGTTGGCCAACTCTTGGATTATCCTTAGCATCACAGCCAAGCAACAGAAACACAAGCCCCTGGAGCTGCTACTATGCTTCCTGGCTGGGACCCACATCCTGATGGCAGCAGTACCCCTCACCACCTACGCCGTGGTGCAGCTGCGGCGCGAGTCCTCTGACTACGACTGGAACGAGAGCATCTGCAAGGTCTTTGTCTCCACGTACTACACCCTGGCGCTGGCCACCTGCTTCACCGTGGCCTCCCTGTCCTACCACCGGATGTGGATGGTGAGGTGGCCCGTCAACTACCGGCTGAGCAACGCCAAGAAGCAGGCCCTGCACGCCGTCATGGGCATCTGGATGGTGTCCTTCATCCTCTCCACCCTGCCCTCCATCGGCTGGCACAACAACGGGGAGCGCTACTCCGCCCGCGGCTGCCAGTTCATCGTCAGCAAGATAGGGCTGGGCTTCGGCGTCTGCTTCAGCCTCCTGCTGCTGGGAGGGATCGTCATGGGCTTGGTGTGCGTGGGTATCACTTTCTACCAGACCCTGTGGGCGCACAGGAGGCGCCAGCAGTGCAGCCATCAGAGGGCGGAGGAGGCGTCGTCCTGCTCTTCAGCAGCACACACCACTTTCAATGTGCCCGCCATCGTAGTGGAAGACGTACGAGGCAAAAGGAGGTCTTCCCTGGATGGCTCTGAGTCAGCCAAGACGTCCTTGCAGATGACCAACCTCATCAGCGCTATTGTCTTCCTGTATGACACACTCACTGGGGTGCCTATCTTGGTAAGCAGCCAGATCCCTCTTACACTTCAGAGTCTGCAGTTAAGCTAGATTTCCATTTTAGTTTTAGGGGACAGACTTTGTCTTCTGCCCAGCATCCACAGAGTTGTCACAGCTGGATCTGTTATTCAAAGGGCCAGTTTTAAAAAGATGGCAGTAATTCCTTTCACAGCATCATTTCCTTAAGGTAAGTCTTGGCCTGGAGAATACACACCACGCACCTAAAGCCCCTGTGAAAGTTTTAAGTGGCTGAGAGGAGAGGAAGTTATTCTGCAAACTTACAGGGGAATCTGCCTCTGTAGAAATAACAAGATTTCTGTTTCTCCAGTTTGCTTTGGGAGAACTGATACAGCAGCTTTACATGCCTTTGCAGACAGTTTTGGTTTTCCTTCTGCTTGTATGTTTGCAGTCAGCACTCAGGTTTTGACTGGCTGGTTGATTCTCTGCAAAACTGGAGAGCTGGGGAAGTTCTCAAAGGGAAGCACTAAGAGCAGAGAGTTTTAGTCACAGCTTTTTTTCCAGTGACTACGTCCTTGGTTAGCACCTATTTAGCTCACAGCACAGGGAAGAAGGGGTGCTAACACCAGGTCTCATATCAGAGATGTGACAGCTCGGAATATAGTCCTGCAGACTTGGGGCAACACCCCAGGAACAGTTTTTCAAAGGGGCACAGGATAATTACTTGACAAATCCTTGACAGACAAGAGTATGTTCTACTACAGAACTGACTCCCGTTACCCTTCTGCCGTGATCCTCACCTCTGTCCTCTTTCTCAGAGCTGTTTCTCTTGTACCTCAAAGGTGGTGAGCTTTTTCAGCCTGCGCTATGATACGGCCCCCACCTGGATGGTCCTGGCTGTGCTCTGGTGCTCCATGGTGCAGACTCTGCTGCTCCCCTCCTTCATCTGGTCCTGTGAGCGCTACCGAGCGGATCTCCGCACCGTGTGGGAGCAGTGTGTGGCTATCATGTCTGAGGAGGACGGAGATGATGGTAACTGCTCCACAGTCATCTTTCTTCACTAACCCTCTCCCCAAAAGACTACAGAGGAAGGAAGGGTCTGCCTCAGGGCACTAGGAGTTGTGTTGTGGGGTGGCTGGGTGGGATTTATGTTACAGCCTGGAGTTTCAGCAACCATGAGAAAATTTATTCTGAAGAATGCTTTGCCACTTACTCCCTGCCTTAGGACTCAGTAGCATCCAGGATAAATTGGTGCAACATCTTTCACAGTAGATGCCAGAGCAGAGACGATGTGCACAGCTGCCAAGCCACAATGAAAGTGGCACACCAGGCCTCAGTCCAACTCGCTGATCCAAAGGTCCAGGTTCTGGCAGTGGGCGATTCAAAAGCAAGACAGAAGAATCTCTCTGGGTCCTTTAGTGCTGCTGCAAGTAGAAAGACAAGGTCCTCGTACAGAGATCAGCCCTGAAGGCTGCAAGTAGGGTGGCAGAAGTCAGACAAGTGTTAGGATGGCATCTAGGTGCCCTGGTAACACTCCCCTTCTGTCTGAAAAGTGTTGACTGCTGTTCTTCTCTTTGCCAACAGATGGTGTGTGCGATGATTATGGTGATGGCAGGATCTGCAAGGTGAGGTTTGATGCGAACGGTGCTGCAGCCGTGAAGCGGGACTCCCGGGACATCAAGCTGCTACCCATGCACCACATGCTGTTGCCCCAGGACAAGGTGCACTACCTGCAGGTGAGCCGAGAGCTAGCAGGGGCAGCCCCACAGCCCACTCGCTTCTCTGTCAGTCTCCCACGCCTTGGTGTCCTCTTGACTCCTCTCTGAGAAAGCCTCAGCTACTCCCTTCCTGCTCTGTCCCTACAAGTCTTACACCACCTGCCTCCTTCTCCATCTTCCAGGTCCCCATCTCCCGCAGGATGTCGCACGACGAGACCAATATCTTCTCTGCCCACCGCTCCGCTCCATCCTTCCTACACAAGTGGTCTTCATCCGATGACATCCGCATTTCCACCCCCCACAAGCCTGGAGGCCCCAGCTTCTTGCTTCCTCAACTGCATGACTACCAGCACCGCGAGCTTTTTCAGCCTGCGCTATGATACGGCCCCCACCTGGATGGTCCTGGCTGTGCTCTGGTGCTCCATGGTGCAGACTCTGCTGCTCCCCTCCTTCATCTGGTCCTGTGAGCGCTACCGAGCGGATCTCCGCACCGTGTGGGAGCAGTGTGTGGCTATCATGTCTGAGGAGGACGGAGATGATGGTAACTGCTCCACAGTCATCTTTCTTCACTAACCCTCTCCCCAAAAGACTACAGAGGAAGGAAGGGTCTGCCTCAGGGCACTAGGAGTTGTGTTGTGGGGTGGCTGGGTGGGATTTATGTTACAGCCTGGAGTTTCAGCAACCATGAGAAAATTTATTCTGAAGAATGCTTTGCCACTTACTCCCTGCCTTAGGACTCAGTAGCATCCAGGATAAATTGGTGCAACATCTTTCACAGTAGATGCCAGAGCAGAGACGATGTGCACAGCTGCCAAGCCACAATGAAAGTGGCACACCAGGCCTCAGTCCAACTCGCTGATCCAAAGGTCCAGGTTCTGGCAGTGGGCGATTCAAAAGCAAGACAGAAGAATCTCTCTGGGTCCTTTAGTGCTGCTGCAAGTAGAAAGACAAGGTCCTCGTACAGAGATCAGCCCTGAAGGCTGCAAGTAGGGTGGCAGAAGTCAGACAAGTGTTAGGATGGCATCTAGGTGCCCTGATAACACTCCCCTTCTGTCTGAAAAGTGTTCACTGCTGTTCTTCTCTTTGCCAACAGATGGTGTGTGCGATGATTATGGTGATGGCAGGATCTGCAAGGTGAGGTTTGATGCGAACGGTGCTGCAGCCGTGAAGCGGGACTCCCGGGACATCAAGCTGCTACCCATGCACCACATGCTGTTGCCCCAGGACAAGGTGCACTACCTGCAGGTGAGCCGAGAGCTAGCAGGGGCAGCCCCACAGCCCACTCGCTTCTCTGTCAGTCTCCCACGCCTTGGTGTCCTCTTGACTCCTCTCTGAGAAAGCCTCAGCTACTCCCTTCCTGCTCTGTCCCTACAAGTCTTACACCACCTGCCTCCTTCTCCATCTTCCAGGTCCCCATCTCCCGCAGGATGTCGCACGACGAGACCAATATCTTCTCTGCCCACCGCTCCGCTCCATCCTTCCTACACAAGTGGTCTTCATCCGATGACATCCGCATTTCCACCCCCCACAAGCCTGGAGGCCCCAGCTTCTTGCTTCCTCAACTGCATGACTACCAGCACCGCCGGCGGCCCCCAGAAGACGAGCTGACCACCCTAAGGCAGTTT